GGTAGGTGTGGAGACGTGTGGCAAGATAGTAGCTAGTGTGAAAACGTGTGGCAATACACAAGGTGGTGTGGAAACGTGTGGCAAGATACTAGCTAGTGTGGAAACGTGAGGCAATACACAAGGTGGTGTGGAAACGTGTGGCAATACACAAGGTGGTGTGGAAACGTGTGGCAATACACTGGGTGGTGTGGAAAAAAGTGGCAATACACTAGCTAGTGTGAAAACGTGTGGCAAGACAATAGGTATTGTAGAAACGTGTAGCAGGTTTTAAGTTAATATTTATAAGAGAATTTCAATATACAAAGCTTCAGAGTTTGGTGAAATCTAATATATAAGCTAAGTTTGTGTCTGTTTGTTCGCAACTTTCAGCCAATTGTTTCTCAATAGTTTCCACATTTCTTGATCAATCAGTACCAAACTTGACAAAGTGATACGGGATGACATGAGGGGGTTGGATTCCCCATTTAATTTGATATTGATAGAATTCTTGAAAGCAGTATTGGTACCTTTATGTATTTTTACTAATTGGAATACCCGTTCCCTGAACGGAAGTTACGTAAATTCATGGTTAATGAAAGGTTATCTCAGAACATGAAAAGTTGCTTCCCTTATACGTAATTGTAAAAAACGCCCTTAAAAACTGGGAAACACAAAATGTAAAACCGCAACTTTGCATGTATCTCCTCCAACAAACCTTCATGCCAAATTTGGTGAAGATCCATTCAAACCCTGCGAAGTAGTTACATGGACATACAACAGACAGTACTGTTATATTTATATAGATACATACAACAGACAGTACTATTATATTTATATAGATACAGACAACAGACAGTACTATTATATTTATATAGATACATGCAACACACAGTACTATTATATTTATATAGATACATACAACACACAGTACTATTATATTTATATATATACATACAACAGACAGTACTATTATATTTATATAGATACATACAACAACAGTACTATTATATTTATATAGATACAACATACAACAG